TTAAATTAAATATCAAGTATTTTGGAAGAAAATAAAATTCCAATAAAATAAATATATGGTATTTAATTATACACATATGTTAATTTTTGTACAATAAATATAAACAATTAATGTCAAAATCTGATTAAAATGGAAGATATCGTACAAATATTACGTGATAAATAGAGCCATAATAAATATGGCAGCAAAATAAATAAATTTTGTCAATAAATGAAGTATTATAATTAATATCTTATGAAAAAGACAATGATATAAAGATTTTGACGAGAAATGAAGGTATATAATCAAATCCTTCGAGAATAAAAAACATCTGATAAAAAATGAAAGATTATAAATCTTTATGTTGGCTAATCAGGAGGTGCCACGTGGCACTATTCAAAAAGGAAGCTGAGGCCACCCCTTCCCTATAAATAGGAGTTATAGCTAATTCATTTTATACACCGAAGTTACATCGAGGATTCAAACAAATGGGTAAATCTCTAAACTCTCTCTGTCTTGTTCTTCGTGTCTTTCAAATCGTTCTTCGTTGAAAAGTCACTAATTTGGATAAATGATCCAATATTAGTTGACGGAGCGATGAAGTTAACGTTATTCATCGTATGTCCAAGCCGGAGGAAGGATCAAAACTCCAAAAGCCGTTGAAGAATCCATCAAAGGCAAGGAAGAGCATCCAAAGTTCATTCCAAAGTTTCAAGGTATTCATCGGTTTCTTCACCAAAGCATCAACTCGGCCCTCTTTGATCCAAAAGTCAAAGGGACACGCAGCCGAAAAGCGTTATGGAGCACCAAATCCATATTCTCAAAGATCAAAGTCTCGGATCATCCAAAGAAGACATGAAATCCAAAGCCGACGATCAAATCGCTCACATGGAGACCCAAGCCCTCAAAAAATCGGCAAAGGTAAACCAAAGATCAAAGTCTCGGATCGTCCAAAAAAGACATCAAATCCAAAGTTCAGGATCAAATTCGTTTGCACGTAGACCAACTCCCTCCAAAGTTCGGTAAAGTCAAACCAAAGATCAAAGTCTCGGATCGTCCAAAGAATACATCAAATACAAAGCCGACGATCAAATCGTCCATACGGAGACCAAAGCCCTCCAAAAGCCGGCAAAACAAAACCACATACCAAATTCCTTCGGATCGTCCAAAGAAGATACCAAAGTCAAAGTCGGCGATCAAATTGCCCACATGGGGACCAAAGCCCTCCAAAGTCCGGCAAAGCCAAACCGAAGACCGAATCCCTTCGGATCAAAGAAACCATTCAAATCCAAGTTGGAAAATAAATCGACCGGAAAGAAAATCAAAAGACCCATATGGAGAATAGGACTCGCTTTAAATCCAAATCAAATATAATTTGTAAAAATTTTGTATTTATTAAAAATAACATAATTTTTTGTCCACAGATTTTTGGCATGCCCAGTGGGACCTCTCTACCTTTCATCTCTCTTTCCGACGAACTCTCAACAACCAATGGCCTCCTACAAGATCAAGACGTCCAATGCTACGTCGAAGGCAGTTGCTCAAGCCAACGCCGCCAAAGGAGTCGTTGCATCCACCACATCAAAAACTTCAAGCGTTTTAACGAATGCTAGAATGATAACAAAAAGTATGGCCAAAAGAGCATTGTTGTTCTATGAAGACACTCCTCCAAAGATCACAAAGCAAATTCCACTATGTGAAGAATACGACAACTTCAAGAGTATTGCCGCACTGTTCACCCCTCAACAAAATGCAAGTCATTCTACTGCATCAAGTTCTGCTCCGGTGATGAATACCAACACTTCAAATATTGAGGACCCAAAGATTGTGGATCAAAGTCTGCTATGCGAGGAAGATCAAAGTTTCAAAGGCACTCATGCCACATACTCATTGGCCAACTGCAAGTCATTCGACTGTATCAACTTTCGCTCTAGTATTGACTATCAACGCATCAAATATGGAGGACCAGCTTGCCGCATTGGTCAAAATCGTTGAAGGGATGTCTCAATACATACAACAACAAGACGCCCTTATCGAAAAACAACTTCTCACAAAGCTGGACAAGCCTGAAGAAGCCGGCCATACCATCGAAAAGCAACCATCTTCCTCAGCGGCCCAAAATAAAGCAGAAACATCCACGGATCAACGTCATGGTAAAGAAAAGGTGGTAGAACCAAATCCATTTCAAGGATCATCCAACTCATTCATCCATATATCCCAACTTGACAAATACATCAAGGGGGCACTCAAAAGAGAATTCGAAAGGAGTTCAAGGCTGATGCACACTTACGCCAAGCCTTACACTGCAAGGATTGATGCTCTTAAAATGCCAACGGGCTATCAACCACCAACGTTTTCAACAATTAGATGGAAAAGACAACCCAAAACAATATATAGCGCACTTTGTGGAGACATGTAACGATGCTGGAACATATGAAGACTTTCTAGTCAAACAATTTGTGCGGTCACTAAAGGGCAACGCCTTCGATTGATACATCGACTTGAAGGCCGGTTCCATCAATAATTAGGAAAAACTAGAGTACGAGTTCTTGAATCGGTTCTACAGTACAAAGAGAACAGTCAACATGACTGAACTCACCAACAACCGCCAATGGAAAGAGGAGCCAGTAATTCACTACATCAACCGCTGGAGAAGTTTAAGTCTCAACTACAAAGATCGTCTTTCTGAGGCTTCCGGCATAGAAATATGCATTCAAGAAATGCAGTGGGGCTTGAAATACATCCTACAAGGGATCCAACCCCATACTTTTGAAAAACTCGCTACTCGCGCTCATGATATGGAATTGAGCATGATGTCTAGTGGACTATATGAACCGCCTTCCCAAGATTTCTCAGACGACGAGAAATATTACACTTCAACTTATGTGGGCAATCATACCTTCAACACTCTTAGAAATGAGGATAAACTTTCTCCAATCTTCTGAAAACGAGGATAAACTTTCTTCAATCTTCGGGAAACGGAGATAAACTTTCTACAACCTTCTAGAAATGAGGATAAACTTTCTGTAATCTCTTGGAAACAGGGATAAACTTTTTGCAATCAGGACGCGCCACGTGGCACCATTCAAAAAGGAAGGCAAGGCCACCCCTCCCTTATAAATAGGAGTCTTGGCCAATTCATTTGACACACCAAAGTTACATCGATGACTCAAGCAAATGGGTAAATCTCTAGACTCTATTTGTATTGTTCTTCATGTTCTTTGTGTCCTTCGAAACGTTCTTCGTCGAAAAGTCATTGATTTGGACGAATAATCCAATATTAGTTGACAGATCGTCGTATGTCCAAGCCAGAGGAAGGATCAAAGCTCCAAAAGCCGTTGAAGAATCCATCAAAGCCAAGCAAGAGCATCCAAAGTTTATCCCAAAGTTTCAAGGTATTCATCGCATTCTTCACCAAAGCATCAACTCAGCTCTCTTCGATCCAAAAGTCAAAGGGACACGCCGCCGAAAAGCGTTATGAAACACCAAATCCACATTCTCAAAGATCAAAGTCTTAGATCGTCCAAATAAGACATGAAATCCAAAGCCGACGATCAAATTACCCACATGGAGACCAAAACCCTAAAAAATTCGGCAAAGTCAAACCAAAGATTTAAGTCTCAGATCGTCCAAAGAAGACATCAAATCCAAAGCCGACGATCAAATTGTCCACACGGAAACCAAAGCCCTCCAAAAGCCGGCAAAACAAAACCGAAGACCAAATTCCTTCGGATTGTCCAAAGAAGACACCAAAGTCAAAGCCGGCAATCAAATTGCCCACATGGAGATCAAAGTTCTCCAAAGTCCAACAAAGCAAAACTGAAGACCAAATCTATTCGGATCAAATAAACAATTCAAAACCAAGTTGAAAAATAAATCAACCCGAAAAGAGAATCAAAAGACGAATATAGAGAATAAGACCTACTTTAAATCCAAATCAAATATAATTTGTACAAAATTTGTATTTATTAAAAACAACATAATTTTTGTCCACAACATATACGCACAACAAAATAAAAAATTAAAATAATTAAGCATTTCAAATAAAATATTACTCACTCCGTCTCAGTTAAAATGTTCAGGTTACTTTAGAAACAAGAATTTAGGTAAAATATAATTAGTAAGTAATTAATTAAGAAGTGTATTATTATATAATAAAGATAATTATATATTAAGATTAAGATTAAGATTAAAATAAATAAATATTTTAATTAATATTAAAAAAATTATAAATTATAAAATTTAAAATGTGATTAAAGTATATAATTATATTTCTATTAAAAGAAATGACAAATTATGTGAAACTTATGAAAATAGGAAAAATGGACACTTCATGTGAGACGAAGAGAATATTTTTATATTATTGACACACTCTTCATATTTTACGCATAAAAATAACTATAATTAAAAAAACACATTTTATGTTTGTTCTTTTATTTTTTTAAAAAACCAAATCAATATTATTCATCTAGTACGATTTTCATTAAAAATATATTTGATTTGTTTATTTTTTACAAACAAATCAGTTATTTTTCGAAAAAAATTAATATATTACTATATTTATTATTTTTATATTATTTATACAATTATTTATATTTAACGTAAAAAAAATATAACTTCAAACTATTCACAAAAGAAACAAACCAATTATTTTTTTAACAAAAAATCACATAAAAATATTATTAAAAAATAAATCAATATACTGTTTCAAATTAATTTCAAACTATAACTAGACAAACTTTTATATTCATATTTTCATTTTACATTAAAAACAAATATTCTCCAAAATAATAATTTTATTTTGCTATTTCTTGTCCGTTTCAAAATAATAATTCAATTTTTATTTTTGGTAATTAACTCTATGTAACCTTTCACAATAATTACACAAAGAGGAACATTTTACTCCTTTACAAATTATCAGTATTGTTTTGAGTATTATCAAATTTGAGGACCAACATGCAATTACACCTTTGCTATAAATGCCTCAAAATTTCAGTGTAGCTTCATTCAAATTACGGAAGCGCTCCATTTACAATTTTTGGAAAAAAGAAAGGAAGATTTAAAACAAAAACCCTAGCCTGAAAACCGTAGTGTCGTTTCACCGGTGGCCTGCTATGGCGGGGGTTGCAAAGCCACCGGCGAGCTTCACGGTCACTCCTCATAAGATCTCCATCTGCATTCTTGCTCAAGTGTACGCGCCGCCTTCTCAAATATCCGTTCCCTTTCCTTTCTCATCCGTTTCGCAGCACAACTGTCTCGGCATTTTCCTCTTATCTCTTACCAAGGTATGCGCTATTAATTTATTATTGTTAATATATATATATATATATCTATATATATACATTATTTCAACTGAACTGTTAGTTGCTGCATTGGAAAGTGATTTGTTTGAGTAAATTTTGATTTTGCTGTTTAGTCGTGCGATGGAATTTTCGAGCCGACACTGGATGAGTTGATTGCGCAGCTGAGGGAGATTGGAGGCCTGTTGAATCACTGGCTGACTGATCACTTAATGCGAAGGCTTTCTTCATTAGCATCACCCGACGACTTGTTCAGTTTCTTTGTTGATTTGAGAGGTAAGTATGAATTTATGGCTGTGAATGAAAAATTCGTTGCTTGTTTATGGAATTCTAATTTCCTTTCCTTGTGTTAAGTTTTATGTCTGGAATATGTTCTATGATGTGTAGAATGTAGTTTATTTTGTTATTTGTCTTTTTTAGGAATTCTTGGGGGCTCAGATGCAAATGTCATGGATGATGATTTAATTGCGCTGGATCCTAATAGTAACATTGGAATGTTTGTGCGGAGATGCTTGCTTGCCTTCAATCAGATGTCATTTGAGGTAATTGGTGTTGTTTCTCTTTGATCAGTTTGGAGAACTTTGGGCTTATACAATGTTTTTATGTAACTTGGTAATAAAAAAGGCTTCTTTAGAAGATTGTCTTCTCAAGAGGAATTGGTCGTCATTGTTTGATCAAGTCAGTCGGTATGCAAGTCCCCTCAGTGTGTGCAAGTCCAATGTGCATCAACACCATCCTAACCTCTTTACTGAAGTTTACTGATTCCCTTAGCCCTATGCCTTCTGGCCTCAATTCAACAGCCTCTTGCTGCACATGCTTCCCCTGCAAATGCCTGCTTTATATGAATGTAATTTTGATTGTCTTGGGTGCATGTGGATGTTGAGTTTGTTTTTGGGAAATATATTTGAATTGGTACATAATTATCGAACGATTGAATGACATAATTGGATCTAAAATTGGGAATAGATATTTAGGTGCAAGATAGGATTTTGGAAATGTGAACATAATTGACTTTAAATGAACACAGAGTGTTGATTGAATAATATTTAAAATTGTTGGTATTTATAAAAGAGAAGAAAGAAGTGTTGTAAATTTTCTAAGAATGTTTATTATATATTTTTAATGTCTTTCTATTCTCTTAAAGTAAAGACATCCGAACATAGTGATAACTTTTAGATGCATTTCCAAATTTCAAAGAATTATCACTTATAAAAACTGATATATCTCAATTTTGTTTGAATCTGCAGTGTATGTGCCACCTGTTAACAAGTATAGGGACATATTGTAAGGAGTCCATCTCTGGATATCCTCCGTATGAGCTGTCGCAGTTAGACAATTCAATGAATGATGCAAGTGCACTAGAATTTGAAAATATGGAGATGGAGAATTTTGTTTATGAGAAAGTTAGTGATGGTTTTGAAGATACTAAAACAACCATTGGAGGAATCCCTTTCCATGACCATGCACCAAAAGATTATTCTGAAGTAGTTGAAGGTATGCATGGACTTTTTATTTTTCATGTTGTATTTGAAATATCAAGTTTTCTAGATTTCTTTTTATTAAGAATGATGCAACTGCAACCTGTTGAATGTGGAAGGTTGCCTTTATCACCTTAAAACTGATGCTTTGGGATCTTAACGTCCCAATATTTCTATTAGAAAAATTTCACTTTAGTTAACTTTGTTTCGATCCCTTTAGGCTATTATATGAGGTGGGTTTGGCTGCAAGCCCAAGAAAATATCTTGTGGATAATTGGTTAGGGTTTAGGGTTTAAAACAGTCCCAATGCCATAAGAACATTCTACACATGAATGCACATTTGAGCTTCATCGGGCTTATGATGTATCCAATGCCACCACATAATATCCCCCCTCCCCAACACATCAAATCAAATACAATTTTTTTTTTAGTCCCGTAAGGGATGACCTGGTGGTGTAAGGGTTGGACTTGTGACCGTGAGGTCATGGGTTCAAACCCCCGACGCCTCAAGTCACCTGCCACACATGGTTCGCCTAGTGTGACTTTCCCGTCGGGCCTGGATTGCAGGTTATTAGCTTCGGTCGGGGTTTACCCCGTGCGCACTTTCGGGTAGCGGCTGCGGGTTCCCACGTTATAAAAAAAAAATACAATTTTTTTAATTTTTATATTACACGATTCAATTTTATATTCGAAACATCACACCGTTTCCTATGGATATCACATTAAACAATTATTTAAATTCAAAATTTTACTATTCAAATCAAAACTCAAAATCAAAACCCCCAAACAAACACACCCCATGTGTTTTTGGTGGAAAATTATGTGGAAGTTGTAGAGAAATAGAGGGAAAATAAAGTTATATTATTCCATCCAAAAAAGAGAAAGGAAGAATACATATATATAGAAGGTATTTAGAAATTATCCTAACAAACTAAATCATAGATATGATATGATATGATATAATGGATATGGATATGAATTTATCAAATCTAACACTCCCCCTCAAGTTGGACTGTACAAGTCAAACAATCCAAGCTTGTTGCAGATGGACTCGGATCTAGGACCTCTAAGAGCTTTTGTAAATATGTCTGCAAGTTAATCATTTGAGGACACATATTTCATATCTATAGATACTGATAACACTTTCTCTCTTATGAAGTGACAATCTATTTTGATATGCTTTATTCGTTCATGAAATACTGGATTTGATGCAATGCGTAGTGCTGTCTGGTTATCACGCCATAACTTCATCTTGGTCGCATCACAGAACTTGAGTTCACAGAGCAATTGTTTAATCCAGGGAAGCTCACATGTAGGCTGTAGCTAAAGCCACAGCACGATATTCAGCCTCAGCACTAGAGTGTGCAACCACATCTTGTTTCTTACTTTTCCAAGATATAAAATTGCCTCCAATAAACACGCAATAGCCAGAGGTAGAACACCTGTCGATTGGAGAGCCCGCCTAATCAATATCTGCATATCCAACCATTTCAGAATGGCCATGATTTGTATAAAGTAATCATTTTCCGGGAGACTCTCTAATATACCGCAAAATATGCATAAGTGCCTTCTAATGAGAGTCATATGGAGACTGCATGAATTAGCTCACTACACTTACTGCTAATGATATATCTGGCCGGGTGATAGTGAGATAATTAAGCTTTCTAACCAGCCTTCTATATCATCCTGCATCAATATCAGTCAATGCCTCCGCCTCCCCCTGTCCTGGAAGCAATTTTGTATTTGGATCCATAGGGGAATCCATAACCTTACCTTCATTCATGCCTGTTTCTTCCAACATATCAAGAACATACTTTCTTTGAGATAGGATAACACCATTCTTTGATTGGGCAATCTCAATTCCTAAGAAGTACCGTAGTGGTTCCAAAGTCTTTGGTCTGGAAATAATTCTGTAAATGCTTATTTTAACTTTGTAATACCATCTATATCATCTCCAATGATGACAATATCATCAACATAGACGATTAAGTAAACACATTGTCCTTCTAAATTATGCTTGAAGAATACGGTGTAATCAGACGAACATTGTGTCATACCAAATTCTTTAATAGCAAGACTGAAACGTCCAAACCACGCCTGTGGAGACTGTTTCAAACCATAGCGTAAACGACGAAGGCGACATACAAGACCAAACTCCCCCTGAGCAACAAAACTAGGAGGTTGCTCCATATATACCTCTTCTTGAAGCTCACCATGCAAAAAGGCATTTTTAATGTCAAGTTAATGAAGGAGCCAACCAAGCATTGCTGCCATTGAAAGAAAAAGACGAACAAAAGGCATTTTGGCAACGGGAGAGAAGGTTTCTGTATAATCCTCTCCATATACTTGAGTAAAGGCCTTTGCAACAAGTTGAGCTTTAAGTCAATCAATGCGACCATCAGGTCCAACTTTGACTGCATAAACCCATCGGCAAGCTACGAGTATCTTTCCCGGCGGTAACGGAACCAACTTCCAAGTATTGTTAGTATAGTATGCAAATCAGATATTTCCTCTATCATAGCCTGACACCACCCTGAATGGCCCAAAGCCTCACGCCATGACCGAGGAACAGTGACAGAGTCTAAAACAGTCACAACACTACACATGGAAGGAGATAAATAGTGATAGCTAAGAAAAAAACTTATAAAAAGGATTTGGATTACGAGTGGACAGAATACCTCGACGTGGGATGACAGGTGACTGAGGAGTCGCAATTGGGGAAGGCGATGAAACCGGAGATGAGCCATCGATAAGCTCAGGTGATGGTGAAGTAGGTACGTTCTGACGTTGCCATGTATGGCGACTATAGACCTGAAGTGGAGGCTTGGGAATGGGGACAACTTGAAGAGGAGTCACAGGTATGGAGGATGGATATCGACGAGTGAGAGGAGAATAACATCTATATCCTTTTTGAACTCGAGAGTACCCAAGAAAAATACATTTGATGGATCGAGGACATAATTTGTCCAAACCAGGAGAATGGTCATGAACAAAACACGTACAACCAAACACCCGGAGAGGTAAAGGGTATAATGACACATTAGGCTGAGGACATGTGATAGGAATCTTATGACCTAGTGTAGTAGAAGGAAGACGATTAATAAGAAAACATGCTGTAAGGATAGCATCAGCCCAAAATTGAAATAGGACATTATAATGCAAAAGAAGGGTACGAGCTGTTTCTACTAAATGATGATTCTTGCGCTCAGCCACCCCATTTTGTTGTGGGGTGGAAGGGCAAGAATACTGATGAATAATCCCCTGAGAAGACACGAATTCATTAAATGAGGGGGAAAAATATTCTCTACCATTATCACTTTTTAAGACCTTAATAGAAGTGTGGTATTGTGTACGAATTTCAACACAAAAGTTTTTGAATATAGTAAGTAATTCAGATCTATTTTTCAATAGATAAACCCAAGTACACCGACTGAAATCGTCAATGAAAGTAACAAAATATTGAAAACCCAGGCTTGACTTAGAACGACAAGGACCTCAAATATCTGAGTGAACTAATGCAAAAGGTTCAGATGCTCTATTATTGATGCACTTTGGAAAAGTAGTACGAGACTGTTTTCCAAGTTCGCATGACTCGCATGATAATGAAGATAGCGATGAAAAATTAGGAAAAATACGTTTTAATTTTGCTAAATTGGGATGACCTAATCGTTGATGGAACAATTCAGGAGACTTAACAGTGACAGTTGCGAGAGTAGAAGATTGACAAGAAGACTTATTTAGGTAAATATAGCCCATGAGACTCACGTCCGGTACCAATCGTCCGTCCTGTACTGCGATCTTGAATAACAAAGGAACTACCGGTCAATAAAATAAAACACTTTAGTAAGTCGACTAATATATATGAAGTTAAATGGACTTTGTGGTACATAAAGGACAGACTCAAGAGATAAATTAGATGACACGCAAACTCTACCGATAGCTTGAGGATATGCTCTATCAATGTTAGCCAGAATGACATGTGTTAGTAAGTTTGACGGATGAAAAGTAAAAAACAAATAAGGATTACCAGACATATGATCGGTTGCACCGGAATCTAGTACCCATGAACCTAGTGTAGATTGAGAAATACCGACAAATGAGATCTGCGCATTAAGAGAGGTGTTGGAACTAGTGGAGGATGACTGCTTAGATGCCTGAAACTGAAGGAACGCATTATAATCGGCACGACTTATAGTAATAGAGTTATGGGATGAACATTCATTCAAATTAGCAACTGCATTTGTCGTACGAGACGGGCGTCCATGAAGGCTATAGCAACATCCTTTAGGATGACCATTCTTATGACTATAAGTACACCTCAAGCGTAGACGTCTAGTACCAATTGATTTAAAAGAGTCGGCCATAAAAAAAGTAAAAGAAGAGAGAAATAAGAGAACTTAGCACAAAATTTGGCGTTGGCAGCGGCAGCAACATGCGGCGGCGGGAAAATATGGAAGTCTATCTAAACTCTAATTGGCTCTGATGCCATGTAGAGAAATAGAGGGAAAATAAAGTTATATTATTCCATCCAAAAAAGAGAAGGGAAGAATACATATATATATATATCGAGGTATTTAGAAATTATCCTAACAAACTAAATCATAGATATGATATGATATGATGGATATGTATATAGATATGGATATGAATCTATCAAATCTAACAGAAGTTATATTATTTGTTTTTCTGACTCTAGATATTTTCTAACATGGTTGGGCTATTCTGGTTTCATTTTGTATGCTATTCTATGGCTTTTCTTAACATCTATAAAAACTGATATTGACTGAGACTTTTAAAACTCAAGTTTCATTATTGTCAAATTGTTATACATATCAAAATTGGAATCTATAATTGTGATTAATTGAAATGCCCTTGTTTCCTGTGATGGAACAGATGCCCCATCGAGCTCAAGGCTGGAACCTGTTCAGATAAAACCTAAAGATTTCTCTTGTGCATTTTCTTCTAGCACGTTGAGAGATGTTGGCTCCATTAGTGGCACCTTTTTGCATACAAACTGGCAGGTACAAGGGTACTTAACAGAGCAGGCAGATTCTATTGAGAAGTGAGTAAATACTACCCACCCCATGCACAAGTTTTATATTTTAAGCTGTTGCACATTAGCAAGGATGATCTAAATCAAAACATTCTTGTTTATCTCATTTCATAACAATTACTATTGATTATTGATAACTTGCTGATATCCTGTTGCAGACATGGAAGCTCCTTTCCTCTAAATGCTTTTGAATCCATTCTGAAAAAGCTTCAGCAATTGACACCCGAGTTACATAGGGTGACTTGCTTACTTTTAGTTGATCTATTTTTTTCTTGTCTTTCTTTTTACTTCTTTGAATGGGGAACTCAAATTAGACTTGAATGTAACAGTATGCTTGTTCTTTATTTCTGATTTTAGGTACATTACTTACGTTATTTGAATAATCTCTATCATGATGACTATCCGGGTGCATTGGAACAACTTCATCGTTATTTTGATTATAGGTATGGATCGATGTATTTTCCTTTATCCGTTCTTTTCCTTCCTTTTCCTGTACCATTTGTATGTTATACACCATACTTGGCCAACTGATGCATATTTTCTTGGTAGAGAATGCACATGGGAAAATTATAAAGTAAAGGTATTTAAATTGACATATGTTGTTTGACTTTTATGTTCTTTTGTATCCCCCTATTACATTCTTGCATTAGTGAAAATATTGACACATTTCATGTTTTCATATGCATTAATTGACCGTTCATCTTTGAGAATGCTTATATACTCACACTTTATTAATTGAGAAAGTTGGCATAAGTGAACACACTTTGTTTTTTGATGTAGTGCAGATTAGCTGAAGTTCTTTTGCTTGAAACAGTGTAATTTTGTATACCTCAATACATGCCACCTTTAACTATACCGAGGAAAAGAAAAAAGAGTCTATTATAATTTGTCTTTATACAATTACATCAATTTTAAACTATTGAGTCCCTGAATCTTATATTTTGAAATTTCTCGTAACGCTCATGTTCTTTGTTAGCTAGTCTATGATTATAAAGTTGTGTGATTGTTGAGAAGTCGTTCCATTATGATAATAGTTTTCCTTGGTTAACACAATTACAACATTACAACAATGTTCTCATTAGTTTTCTTCATTCATGTGGTAACATATTCTTTATTTTGTATGTGTTTTATGGTGAAGTTCTCTGCTGCAAGATGAATATCACAATAAGTCTGTGTGATAGATCATTCTTTTGTTGTTGTCTTGCCAATATTATGTGAAAAATCTTTGTGATAAAGTGCAGGGACTGAAGGAGTTGAATGGAGTCTTCCATCTGGAAGTACGAGCTTTGGAAGATATGAGATTGCTTTGTTGTGCTTAGGAATGATGCATTTTCATCTAGGGCACCCACAACAAGCATTGGAAGTAAGCACATATTCAGTTTTTTTATTTTATGTCCTCATCTTATTATTTGGGTCCTCATCATCTCTTATATTTATTGCTTGCGGTTTGTTGTGTTGACTGTGTTTTCCGTGTTTTAATTATATCTGGTTATGATAGACTAATATATGTGTTAATATCTTCAGGTTTTAACTGAAGCAGTTCGAGTTTGTCAGCAGGTGCATCTTTTTCCCATTTCTTAAGTATACATTTTCTATTTGGCTTTTGCTGTGACTGTCCATTGATGTAAAGCAGGATTAAATCTTTAATGTAGCCTATTAGATTATAAGCCTGGTACCTTTTCAACCTAAACCTGAACAACTTTTGTGATATAACTTTTACATAAGGAAATCTTAGTTAGGCTTAGAATTTGGATGCATAACAATTTATGGTTTCTTTCAATTATTTGGCATCTTCTTATGTTGTATTTTAAGTTAGCATTCGAGTGTGAGGGTAAAACATTATAACAAGAGAGTTGCTGGTGAATAGTGTGTTCCTGGTTGTAAATATGTATTCTATAATGTATATGTGCTAAGAATTTGCACAAAAGATATACATATCTGGTAACCTAAGCGGGCCTAATATAATACTCTCCCTCAACGTGGAAGATGCAAGTCATATGATCTAACCTTGTTACTTACGTACTCGACTGAGAATCTTTAAGGGCTTTTGTTCATATATATTTGCAAGTATAATACTTGGTTTATATGCATCCAAATAACACCTTAACAAAGTGATTAACAATCTCAATATGCTTCATTTCTTCATAAGACCTTGGATTTGAGGCAATTTATAACATTGCATGATTAAAAGACAACTTCATCTTCGTCACTTCATTTCAGAGAACTTATGTTCATAGAATAACTACTTTACCTAGATAAGCTTCCACATAGCTTAGGCAATGCATGATACTTAGCTACAACACTGAAGTTGGTAACCACGTCTTGTTTCTTACTCATTCAAGATGTAAAATTAACTTTAACAAATACACAATAGCATGAGGTAGAACACTTATTTGATTTGAGGCCTTGTTGAATCAAGGTTTGAATATCCAACAATCTCAGAGTAGCTAATGTCCTTTTCCAATATATTCTTTCATGTAACCATAAATGTGCATAATTGCTTTCCAATGAGAGTCACTAGACATTGAAGATCACTAAGTGCAAATGAAAAATCTGGTTGGGTGATAGTTAAATAACTAAGCTTCTCAAATATCTTATATATTGTCCAACATCAATTAAGGGTGCCCTTGTTTAGGAAGCAATTTTGTTTTTGGATTCATAAGAGAATTCATGGCTTTGCACTTAGTCATGCCTGTTTCTTCCAAGATATTAAGTACATACAACAAGACAAAACAACACGACTATTTGATTGGGCAATCTCAAACCTTTTAATAAGGTACCTAAGTGGTCCAAAATTTTTAATCTAAAAATAGTTGTGCAAGTGCTTTTTCAACCATGTGTTGTTATCAATATCATCCTTAGTACTGACAATATCATTGATATATACAACCAAATTATAAATAGTCTCTTTTGGCATGCTTATAGAATACCATGTGATACGATGCACAATATCATTTCAATTTCTTGAAAAATAATCCGAATCATCCCAATCATGCTCGTGGCGATAGTATCGATAGCGGCAATAGACACGATCGGACTTCCAAGAGGTTGTGTTGTATACACTTTTTATTGAAGCTCATCATGGAAAAATGTATTTTTAATGTATAATTGATACAAATATTAGCCATGCATTGTTGCCATAGAGGAAACATGTGAACCTAGGATATATTTACCAATTGAAGAGCAAGCTTTCGTATAGTCCTTGCCGTACACCTGATTAAAGCCTTTTCCAATAAGCTGAGCTTTCAGGCGTTCAATATGACCCTCAGGACCAGCTTTTACCACATAAACTCATTGACAAGACACAAACATTTTGCCCGGAGGCAGGAAGACGAACTACAAAGTATTATTAAAATGCAAAGCAGTCGTTTCCTTTATCATAGTTTGATGCCACATTGAATGATCCAAAGCCTTATACAAAGAGCGAATACCTATACTAGAATAAAAAACAAAAAACAAGATGCCACACTACAAGATGGAAGAGGTAATATAGTGATAACAATGTAGATGATAATCAAGATTAAAGTATGTGTGGAACAAATACCCTGATGAATAGTAAGATATGGAGTTGCAAGTGGAGTAAATGATTGGACTAGAGGTGAATCCTCAATAGAGGCAAGAAATACAGAAGTTCATGATGAAGTGGCAGATTTTGACGATGTCATTTATGATGGCGATAGACGTGAATTGGCTAACTTGAAAGTAAGCCACTGCATCAAAAGAGAGACTGTCATAGGGAACAAATATGAAAGAGAACATGGAGACAATGACTAAAAGAAAATAGCACTCACAAAAACAATACCGATCGGTGAAAGAAGAATAGCAGAATAACCATTTTGAACTTGAGAATACCCAAGAAAACTGATGTGGTGCAAGGAGATCGGCCCTTGCAGGTTTACCATCGACGGAACGGGCATGAACCCACCTTCCGTGGGTTATGATTTATTTGAAATTCAAATTTCAAATTTTAATTTTTTTTTCTCCAACTCTAAATTATTGTCATTTATTTCTATTTTGATTTTGAATTGCGTAGAAGAGTATTTAAGTCCCTACCTTAAGACTATGGAGGATATAGAGGAAATAAAGTATTGGTGAATTACCTTTGATTGAGGGAAATTGGGGGAACACATTGTTCTTATTTTTGTTCCTAATAATTGGTCCGACATGCCGGATCCGTTTCCGTTTCCGTTGCGATGGTTGTGTTGCACGTGGAACGTCTGACTAGAGTGGAGTTAGATCAGAATGAAACCAAGGAAAAGATGGATGCGCAAGATGCGAAGTTAGATATGCAGGGACTGAAGTTGGATGCACAGACGGTAAACTCGCTGATATTGCGGCATCCCTGGCAGCCTTGACGGTGAGAAAATCTTTTCCGCGGCCGGCTGTGCAGCCGAAGAATAGAACAGCACTGCGGGGGAAGGCGCCGGAGGTGGTAGCAGATGAGACAAGCGCTGCAAGTGGGCAACAAGGGAGCATGCCGCAGCTCGGTGGCAACGCGGTGACAGCCCAATGGGCGATGAGAGCGCGGGGTGAAAGGAAGCGCATGACATAGTAGGACTATGAAGATGACCAAATCGGCTAGGTCGCGAGGGTTGAACAACAGTTTGAGATTTACTGTATTAGGTGACGTGGCAATGTGCACGTTGCCCGGGGCTGCCATGGGAGAAATTCACCCATGTACTAGTGGCGCGGTTTGACATATGTTTTATGGGCAATTGTTTTGAGCGACTGCTAGAGGTGAAGCAACATAGAACAATGGATGAGTATATATCTCTATTGGCAAGTCAAGTTCCGGGATCGTCGGAGACGCATTACCTGAGGTATTTATAAGTGGCCTAAAGGGTTCAATTCGGGGCTCACTTTGTCTGCTACGGCCCACAGATTTGGACTGCGATGGAGTTGCCCAGGGACATCTAAGATAACTTGGGTTTGCAGAATGATAAGCAACGGAGTAAGTCAGACGGTAACTTTGGACACCGACACCGTTTGTGGGGGTTTTCCCGATCATCAAGTGGCAGTCCAATTTTCGGAAATATGAGCAATATGAGTGGTAGTGGCCCAAAGGTTGGAAGCCAGACTTTGGGTATGAGCTCGGTATCATCAAGACAGTCTAAGGCACGTTCCCGATTCACCCAACGTCCACTCAAGGTATTGGAGGAACTACGTGCGAAAGGATTGTGTTTTATTTGCAAAAAGTTATTCCCGCCGGGGCTTGATTGCCCTCTCAAGCAACTGCGGGTATTAATGGACGACGAGGAGTTAGCTCTACAGCAGCACGAATATTACGAGGTGCCCGGTCTGGAGGAAGGCGAAGAGGAATATGCGGGAGAGTTGGGGGACTTGCAATGTATTCGATGACTGAAGTGTTTAGTCCTCGCACAATGCGATTACGGGGCATAGTTCGGGGCATGGAAATAATTGTATTAATTGACAGTTGAGCGAGCCACAACTTTTAATGTTCTTCCTTGGTTGACGGATTGTGGCTGCGTTCAGAATCGATCGGAAAATTCGGAGTAAAAATGAGAGATGGTCGTAGAAAGGAATCAGAAGGGGTGTGTCGGAGTTTTCGAAACCGTTGTTTTGAGAAATGAGAAAATAGGATTTGGGTAAATACCTCTTTGAATTGATTCCGGTAAAGCTCAATTTAGCGATCGGACTACCGGGGTGTGAGGCGGTGGCAGACTGCGAAGTATTTTCCTTGGAGGGTGTGGAAGTTATCTTGGGTATTAAGTGGCTCGCCATACTTGTAGAAATTGTTCATAATTGGGTGGAGCTTTTTATGAGTTTCAAGGAAACTACGGGTCGAGTGGAGCTAAGGGGGGACCTAGCGTTGTGTGTCGGACTTTGGTGGAGGGGGTTTTACCGCCAAGTTTGGAACTGCCTGTAGAGCCAACGTTTGAACCTTCAGAGGTTTTAGCGCTATGCGTAGTTTAAGAGGACAGGGCCCTCGTTGAGCAATTGTTGGTTAAATGGCGTGGGGAATCATTCGATGAGGCTACTTGGATATCTCGTCCTGACTTCCAGGGACAGTTCACAAACTTCAACCTTAAGGACAAGGTTACTCCAAGGGAGATGAAATTGATGTGGTGCAAAGAGATCGGCACTTGCAGGTTTACCATTGACGAAAACAGGCATGAAACAGGCCCTTGCAAAGAGATGTGGTTCTAAAAACTTTTGGAATATATAGAAGCTAAGATCTACCCTTCATCAAGTAAATCCAAGTACAAATAAAAAAAATCACCAACAAAAGTAGCAAAATACTTAAAACCCTAGAGTATATATAATACAATATGGACCTTAAATATTAGAATGAACTAAAGCAAATGGTTGATTGATTTTTAAGTGCTTAGAAAATGTGCAGGATTTCTTTCCGGGCTCACAAGACTTGAATGGTAATGAAGTTAATGATAAAAGACAGAAAAATGACATTGTAATTTGGACAAGTTGTGATGATCGAATTGTTGATGAAGCTAATCAAGAGACTCAAACGAACTAGTACCAAAGTAGAGGACAGATAAGAAGGCTTAGTGATGTAATATTGCCCATGGAACTTATGCCCAATAAACATAATTCATCCTATGCTACAATCCTAAATAGATAAAGAACTAGCTAATAAGATAAAACAATTCAAAGCCTTAGTAAGTTGACTTACATACATGAGATTAAATGGATTTTGAGGAATATAAAGGACATAAACAAGAGGACAACAAGGTGATGGACATGCATTACTAGCAACCTAAGGATATGCTTTAGCAGGTAATATGGGACAATAAACATGATGGGTTAAAGGTGGAAAACAAAGAAGGATTACCAGATACATGGTTGGTGGCACCGAAATCAAGAACCGATGCATCAAGAGGAAGAAATATTAGGAAATACCAACAACATGAGAGTGTCTGCATCATGTAATATGGTATAGCTGAAGGAGGGTGAGTATTGGGATGCCTGAATTTGAAGAAATTCATCATATTTGGCATGGGGTAGGGTGATGGAGAGGAATGGAGAACAATTAGGGGAAATAGCACAACAACAATCCTTGTATGAATGTCCATGTAGGCTATAACAATGTTTCTAATTATGCCTCCTCTTGTTATAGTAAGTGCATAACAAAAGACCTTTATTACATTTGCAACTCTCTCGATTACCATGATTCATATCATGGTTACCCGAAGTAGGAGTCTGAATAACTAAAATAGAGCCATCAACAGGAGTAACCACAACAAATGTGATGGCCCCATGAGTACTACCACTAGAGGAAATTCACATACGTAAGACAAGAACATCATCAAGTACAAAGACATTTGAACCATCAAATATTTGATCTTGAACATGATCATGTTTAGGCCGAAGATAAACAAGAGCCAAAATAGCAAAGAACTCGACCTACGCAACCTTTGGGTCTGTAGAGTAGTAGCTAGATACAAGGGAAAATTGTTCCTACTTAACAAATTCTAACTTACATATGTAGTCAAGTCAGAAGAGTGGCATTTAAGATAAGTATGACTGGAAACCAAATCAGAATAGCCAAATGCCATTGGTATAAACCAAGTTAGCCTTAAAGTTTATGAGATTTAAAATGACCGGCACGTAGGAAGTATAGTCAAAGCGCAAAAAGTTCCACTTCATAGCATGTAGTTGAGCATTAACCTAGACCATTCAGATAGTCAGATAGAGTCTGTCAAAATTTCTAATTTTGTTTGGAGAGGATTGGATTGCCCTTGACCCTTCAATTGATCTATAGTTGGATAATTCATGCAGCTTATTAATAGTAATTGCTTGGAAATTGGGTGGTTTACATAAGTCAAATATGTAGACAACAACAAATAAAATTACCATTATATGAATCTGGCGGACTGCTACTGGGGCATGTGGTACCCACATGGCTCCAGGGTGGCAATGATGTGATCAATGTGTCTTGATTTTGGGGACATGACGGTTCGGCGTGTGTTGGAAGGTGGCTGGGAACTAGGTTGGATATCACCTGGAAGAAGAAATATAGTGTCATGGAGCTGTGTGCACCAACGGCTAGAGAATGGGGAACAAGAGTTCAGTGTTGGTTGTGTTAAAAAATCTTATTAGTGTTTAAGAAAATTTGGTTTTCAGAAAAAAAATAAAAAAAATGGTTTTTGGGTGGAAGGAATCCTCTGTCGCGACGGTGGTGTGGTAGCTCAACCCTAATAAAGGTGGATTTGCTACCATATAAAGTTGAATTCTATTAATTAAATAATGTTTACGTGCTAAGAATTAGCACAAAGAAGTATACATTCGAAGTAACATAAACAGACCTAATCCAACAGTGACACTTAATTATATAACTGAGAAAAGCAGGTTCATTCTGACTGTTCTGAGTTTTCATTTTTTGTATATCCATGTTTGAAATAATGTATACTGTATCGGTCATCTTAAATTGTATGTTTCCTTTGTTGTTCAGCTGGATGACTATTGATTTATAACCAGACTTTTGTTTTCTTGTTTCTTTACTGAAGCTGTCTTTTGATATTATATTTTTGCTCAATTGTACAGAACAGTGATGACACATGTCTTGCATACACTTTGGCAGCAATTTCTAATCTGTTGTCTGAAATGGGAATATCAAAGACACATGGGATTATTGGGTCATCTGACTGGTCTGTTGCTGGTATAGGCACTTCATTGTCTGTCCAGCAACAATTATTTGTGCTCTTAAGACGATCCCTGAAGAGAGCAGAAAGTATTAAGTTGAAACGACTTGTGGCTTCTATTCATCTTGAGATTGCTAAATATGATATAGCGGTGAGATATTTATTGCATTGTATTTTCAAAGTAAAATTAGCTATATAACTCAGCATCTTAAAATGTGATTCTATGGGTGTGTTTCGTTTGGATTTTTTTTTTTTTTTTTTTTTTTTATAGTTACATAAGTCGTTTGGATGTTTTATTGTATGAGAAAATGGTCTTTTTTTATATATATATTGAATAATGGGGGCTGCGAAATAAATAAACTGAAACAAATATTCATTGAGAACATAAGCCCATATATTTCATGATTTATTGTTTTGATTGATAAAGGCTCAAGTTACAATGGTTTGTTATCATTAAGATGAGATGCTGAGGGTTTGCTAACAGGCGCATTTTGTATCAAATCTATTGATTATTTTGATAATTGTTTATGTGCTTTTTATCTTTATTTATAGTTAGTATTAATCGAAATTTATGTTACAGATAATCATGATAGTGGTTCCTATAATGGAAATTTGAACGCCATTTTCTGACCTTCTCTTCCTGTTCTTGTGGACTCTCCATTTTGGGGAGCCCAATCCATGAGTAACAATCTAAGTTGCAGTGTTTCAATTTTCAGCACGTTCAAAGGCCATTGCTTTCATTTGGGCCAAAGGCGTCCATGAAGCTTAAAACATCCCCTACCAATGTTTACAAGGTTCTACCTATTTTATTTAAGTTATATTTCTAGCAGTAGAAACATATTTCCCCCGTTATTTTACTGTTGGAACACTGGTTGCAGGAGTTGTGGTTGAGTTCCCATTTGATTAATGATTTTGGTGATGAAAATTCTGTAATGTCCACCGATGGCTCCTTCTGCACAGCATGGCTGAGAAGTTTGAACAAGCCTACAAGATCATTAGTATTTGCTCAAGAACATGAAAATGAAGCCAGTGGTAATTCAAATGCATTTCAGTTTTATGCACAGCCCTGTTCTATTCCTGGATCTGCTTTACAATTATTGGGTTCTTCCTATTTGGTTCGAGCCAGTTCATGGGAGATGTATGGCAGGTAGTTTATGGCTTTCATTTTGTATTATAATTCTCTTAAATACCCTTCACTCTGCAGATGCGGTGCACACATATGTTACAGTTTTATGAGTATGATTCTCCAACATTCTTGCATTTAATTATGGAATTTAATCTTTTCTTTTATTTGAAGGTGATCACTAATTTTAGGCCTATACAATAGTTTGCGTGAAGGAGTGGTAATAACTAGCCTTGAGAATGTTCATCCTCATGTTACATATATGAATAGACAGTGGACACTTATTTATTTGCGTTTTACTTTTTTTTTCTCAAAGTGGTTTGACCTTATCTCAGCCATAACTTTGTAATGATCTATGGACTTGTTTTGTGCTGTTTTTCCCCCTTTAGTTGTAATCTGCACCTTCATATTTACCTGTATTCTTATCACATTGTGATTTTCTTTGTTTTTATTTCATATTCAGTGCGCCTCTAGCTCGAATTAATGCACTGGTATTTGCAGCATGCTTTTCCGATTTTTCCAGGTACTTGCTCTCCTGCCAGCTTTTTTTTCCTGTTGCTATTTAAACCACAGACATTTTACACCTGTATTTATTATCACTGACTGTGAAGTCTGACCTTTTTTTTTTTATTTGGCAGTTTATCTGATACTGCATTGGCATACTCAAAGCTCATCCAACACTTGGCCATATATAAAGGATACAAAGGTAGGATGTGCTTGACTGTCTTCTCAGTGTGGATTGAGTAAATTTTATTTTGTGCAATATTATAATGAAGTAGGGTACTGTCGTAGTGTCGTGTATGTTTTATTGCACTTACAGTTACATGGCATGGTGATCTATGTAAAGATATGCTTGCTTTGTCATATGGCCCCACCTTCATTAATTACACTGCACTGAATGTGTGTTTATGTATCAGATGCTTTAGCTGCTTTGGAAATAGCAGAGGAGAAGTTTATATCCATCTCTAAATCTAGAATCCTGCTTGTGAAACTACAGCTGCTGCATGATTGTGCATTGCACAGGTGTAATATAATTTACCCAGTATTGGTTACCTTATAAGTACATGCTACATGTATTTTGCTCACTGTTTCTTTGCTTTGTTTATCATGCAGAGGAGATTTAAAACTAGCTCAGCAATTTTGTGATGAGCTTGGTGTTTTGGCTTCATCTGTAAATGGAGTGGATATGGATATAAAGACAGAAGCTAGTCTTCGTCATGCCCGTACATTGCTTGCAGCAAACCAATATAGCCAGGTTTGGCGAATTTCCTGATTTAAAGTTATAATCAGTTAGTGACAAGGAAATAAGGCTATGAGAGGGTGCATAAAGTTATTCTTGTTGTTTTATACCTTTGAATGATAAGGTCCCTTTCTCTGTTTAGCCACATTTTGGTTTACCCTTAAAGATCTGTAGGGAGGGGGAGGACCCTGGATTTAAATTTGGTACTCTACAGTCTATTGAAACATCTTTTATATCTAACTCCCTTTGCAAGGTCGAAAGTTTGTAGCATTTAGTTAATGGAAGATTAATGCTGGTGATGAGTTCTGATTTCAGAAATGGCACCATGTTAGAAGCTCCAGTCATGTCTCTCCCCCTGAATATTAGTTGGACTCTGCAGGCTTATTAGGATCCTATCCAGAGTACTTTATGATTCTAATAATTTTGGATTGGCTATGGCTAGACAATAAAGAACAATATAGAAAAGGTTTGGGCAATTTTCACATTGATTAACTGTGTGTCAATTCATGTCTCTAACATAAGGCTTGCAATTTCTTGAAGTATGTCATTGTCCATTGAGAATTTTCTGAGAAGAACTAGGGCTTAATACAACTCATGTGACAGTAACTGTTATGCAATAAGAATGTGCTAAAGGGCGATGTTGGTCACTCTTGTCAGCTCTTTGTAATTATGTGAAGCTTAACTGAATGCGCTCTAGTTGCAAGTTGCAACAACTGTATACCTTTTTTTTTTTATTTATTAAATTAACATCAAAAAGTAAAAAAAAGTGCAATGTTGTGTTCATCAGTTTGTTTTTTCAAGAATGATGCCCCCATGACAAACAAAGCTGTTTTGCCCAATGAAACTGATTCTAATTTGTTACTGTTGCTTGTTGTTCTTGCAGGCAGCAGCTGTTGCACACTCCCTGTTCTGCATGTGCTATAAGTTTGATATGCAAATAAAAAATGCCACCGTTCTTCTTTTACTTGCTGAAATACAAAAGGTATTTTGAGTTAGATGGCGCTAGACATCAAATATTGACAAAATGCTTGGATATACAATTTTGATAGTTTCTATTACTCTTTGGTATGGTAATTTCATAGGCTTATCTTAATACTTAACTAGCCAAGTTGTCTTATGGCACATATCCAGATTACCCTGTGTAAAATATTCTAAAGATCACCCTTTATAAAAATCTGAAAATCCCTCTTTTGGGAGGTAAATTGCATTATTTCAGAAACACATTTGGTGGCACTTTATACAGGGGTTTTTCGTGAACATTTTTCATAGGGAATACAAGCTAAATTCTAATTTATCTTTTAATATTCAGACTATGTATTTGTTCTTATCTAATCTAGAGTTAATTTTTCCTTTTTGTTCATTTCAGAGGTCAGGCAACGCAGTCTTAGGAATACCATATGCTTTGGCTAGTCTTTCCTTTTGTCAATCATTTAACTTGGATCTTCTCAAAGCCTCTGCCACACTAATGCTTGCTGAATTATGGCTCTCTATTGGACCGAGTCATGCGAAAAAGGCCTTGGCCCTTTTGCATAGCTCTTTTCCTATGCTTATTGGCCATGGTGGTTTGGAGCTCCGATCTCGAGCATTTATAACAGAGGCAAAATGTTATCTAGCCGACCCTAGTTTTTCAGGTATTTATATTGCACTCTACCTCTAATCAGGTGGAATATAGGGTTTTACTCTCCAAATGTCTACTTGTTTTCAAAAGAAAACTAAGCACACAATTGCTCCATACTTTGTTAGCTTCATTGAAATTCAAAATAAGCTTGTTCATGCGACTGACTAGTTTGAATTCCAGTTGGAGAGTAACTTCACTTTTTTGTGCTCTTTAGAGGGACTCACTGTGTAAAATTACTATATTTGCCTACAGTTTCAGACAATCCAGAGATGGTGCTAGAACCTCTACGACAAGCTTCTGAAGAACTTCAACTTTTGGAGGTTGGTTAATCTCTCGCTCTATCCATTTAATGCATTGTGATCTGTAAAGGCGGAATCTTCTTTTGATTATTTCGTAGTGTGCCATCATGTCCATGTCTAACATGTCTTATGGGATTAAAATAGAATTGAAATTCTAATTCAGTGTTTTTTATATGGAAACTTTTGTAACACTGACCTTTCGGCGGAATTCAATGTCTGTTCATTCTTCTTGTCATTGGAATTTTAAAATATATAAAATCTTTTTAAATTAAGATAAATGTCTATTAGTATTTTTGTTGAAGAGGTTTTTGGTGAGAATGTAGAATATTAATATATTGTTCTTCACTAATATTTGAAGGATTGGTGGAGTGCCTATATATGTGTCTTGTTTGCAATAACAAGAGTTTAATAAAAGAGAGTAGTGTACTTATGCAGTTGCTGAAGAGTGACGAAATATTTTTTCTTGGAGTGAGTTGGATTTAGGCTCGTGAGTTTAGGTGTGTTAGTATATATATTCCGTATATTTTTAACTCGATTAAAAATTTTGAGTTTCCATATCCTCCTAAAAATTGAATGTGTGTTAATTCTAAAGAATTTAAAAATGATTATTTGAATTGAAATTTCAAGTTCCATTTTGAATTATGGGACTTGACTCGAAAAAGTATTACCATAAATCGAGAGCACACGGTAGTACTAGTCTCAAGTGCTGAGGCATGAGTGTCTTTTATAAAATAATAAACCCAAAACTAGCATTGTATGTGTATTATTAGGGGATGCTGAGCTTAGTTTTGGAACAAGCTTGAGTAGACTATGATTTGGCTTAAACTCGAATAATTTAATTTATATTGCAAATCATGTCGTCTTGATATAACCAACAATGGTAGGGTAGGGTAGGGCTGGGCTACCTATATTAATGTGATTTTGCTGATTGTGCAGTATCATGAGTTGGCTTCTGAAGCATTCTACCTAATGGCCATGGTGTATGACAAGCTGGGGCAGTTGGCCGACAGGGAAGAAGCCGCTGCTTCATTTAAAAAGCACATCACTGCGCTTGAAAATCCAGGCGACATGGATCGGTCGCTCTTTGCTACATTGTGTGCTGACAAATACATACGGTAAAAATTCGTATTCGTGTTTGTTGTATCATTGTTTATGAAGATATGATGTTTTGTGTGCTTTGTGTTTTCTTTATTTATGTTATACGATAGATTGCAGTTTGTTAAAAACTCTGGTTTTTATGAGCCGAGATTGTTCTGTGCAGTAGATTAGTGAGTCTATGAGGAAGGTTTCGTAGCTCTACTTGGAACATAACATTCATGGTGCTAATATTTTTTAATTTATACCACACAAAAGAATAGGTTAGAAGAATTGCTGGGTCATGTTCTTTTTGGACTTTTTTTTTACATTAAATAATTGTTGGATGTAACGTTTGGTTGAGAGAGAGAGAGAGAGAGAGAGAGAGCTTGGAAGTAAGTGTGATGTTGAATAATTGGTAAAAAAAATAAACTTTTTTTCCTACTTACCATATATATGTTGCAATTTTTTATCTGTTTCACATCTCACTCATGTCACTTTTTTTTTTTAAATAATTACGCATCTTAATCACATTTTAAATTTTCTAATTTAATTTTTTTAATTTTAATTAAACTAATTAGTTATTTTAATCTTAATTTATGATAATTTATATTACGAGTTAATTATTTTCACTAATATATTCATTAATTATATTTATTCTAAATTCTTGTGTCTACAATAACTTAAACTTCCAATGTGACTGAGAGAGTATTTATTTAATTATGCTTTCTATTTGATATACATATGCTATACTAATTTCAATATAATTATTAATAAAAGATTTACTTACCCAATTAAATTTAGAATATTGTTGTATTAAATTTAATATATATATTTTATTTTGTAATTTCTTTTTTCCATATATAAATATAATTCTCAATTTTTATTTTTTCCTTACTCATACAAAATTCCCCCCTTCCCCCCGCCCTGAATTCGCCCGCCATTATTTAATTTGATTCGAAGTTGTCATTTGTCTTTTTGGCTTAAGAAAAGCTGGGTAGAGTTATTGAAATTGTTAAGAGTGTGTTTAGGCGCGGATTTAATTTTTTATTTTCCTATTCTAATTTTTTTTTCTTAAAAATATTAAATTTAATATTTATACAATAAAATTAAATTTTATATCTAAAATTTCACATCAATACATATTTATATCATATCAAATAATTATTTTAATTCAAAACTTTATTATTAAAAATCAAAATTCAAAACCAAAATCTTACGAGTAAATACATACATTTCTATTGTGCCTTTCAATTTATTTATTTTTGTTATTCGTCACACCAATTTAAATAATAATAATAATAATAATAATAATATATACATATAAAAAAAATATATATTAGTATGTTTTTTTTAAAGATTAACATGATTTTTTTTTTTCAAATAAAATGAAATGCTTTAGAAAAAAATCCTTCACATGTTCTATAAAAAGAGTACCATGGATTTTTTGCATATTGATATTTGAGCATTAATTATTATATTTAAAATTTGGAATCTTATTATATGCTTGGTTGATAAATTATGTGAGATTTATATTTCTCACGTTTGTTTTTCATATAAGTTGAATAATTTGAATTTTTTATATTATAAATGATATAATTGTCCTCATATGGATTTTATTTATTTTGATAAATTAAACTTCTAATTCATTATTAATATAAATTGAAAATGTATCAATAATTTTATAGAGATGCCAATAGATTCACGTAAACTCGAGACCTGACCAGATTCGACCTATTTATTTGAAGTTGATTCCAATTATTTGAGTATTAGGCTTGAGTCCAGGTGATTTCGGGGTATATATATTAATAATATATCAACTATAAATATGAAAAAATAATTTCTAACAATATAATTATATTAAAAATATTTTTTGAGTTTCATTTATTCATTATTTTATTCTAATATTTTTTAAAAAATACATAAATTTTAATATATGTTGGGTCCAGTGCATGTGCACCCGACTTATTGGCATCCCTTTAATTTTATAATTCAAATAAAATTTATGATAAATAATACTCCCTCTGTCTCAGATACCGTGTTACACTGTAGACACGGTATTTTAGGAGGGGTGTAATTAGTAGATAATTAAGAATGTATTAGTAAAAATAATTATCGTATAATATAACTAATTATAAATTAAGATTAAGATAACTAATTAGTTTAATTAAAATAAAAAAAATAAAATAAAAAAATTTAAAATGAGATTAAAGTGTGTAATCATTTTCCAAAAAAGGAAAGTGACATGGTATGTGGGACGGACAGAAACGGCAACGTGGACATCGTATCTGGGACGAAGGGAGTAATTTTAAACAATAAATTTATTAATTTATTTTAAAAAAATATTGTATCATAAAAAATAATATAAATTTAATTATATATTCCCCCCGTCTCATTGGAAAGTTGCCATTTTTCATTTCCAACCGTCCCAAAACAAGGTTACCATTTCCTAATTTAGTAATTGTACTACTTACCTAACATAATAAATACCCTTTTAACTTATAATATATTACACAAATGTCATTATTTTTATATTACACTATACTAATAGGGGTATTTTGTCTTTTTACTACAATCTAATATAATACTAATATTCAAAAATTTACGAGCAAAAAGCAAACGCCACTCTTTCATCGGGACGAAGAGAGTATATAATTCTAATAATAATTAATTTTTATTAATATAGATACAATATTTCTTTTATAAAAGGATATAAAAGTAAAATTTAAAATTTTAAAAATAGGATTTAAAAGTAACAGAGGTATTCTATGAAAAAAAAAATCCTTTATTTATAGGATTTTAGACCCTTTTTTTTTTTTTTAAATCTCATCATTTTAAAATCCATCATATTTTTTTTAATCAAACACGGATTTTATGGGATTTTAAAATCAAATCCCATGGAATCCCACTGAATCCTTAAACGAAACAGCCCCTAATAAAAATATTGTTCACCATTTGCGTAATACTTAATTATGGGATCGGATCATCGGTCCAATTTCTCTAATCAGTCTAACAAATAAAAACATGACACGCGTATGTATGTATGTATGTATTATTATTATTTTAAATCACAAATTACAATCTAAATTGTAATTCCTCCTCGCGTCAAAACATTTCTCGCAGTATCGCCCTAGCCTGTGACAGTTGCCGCCGCCACCACAGATTGATGCCGCCGCCGCCGACACCAAAATCAGCAGGTTTATTTTATTCAATTTCTATCAACCAAATCTTTGCCAGAATTTATGTCCGCTCTAGCCAAAGTCATCCCCCGACCCCGAAGAAATCACCGCCGTTGTCGCCGCCGAAATCAGTGTGTTTTGTATTTTTTACTTCGGAATTTTTAATTATCTCTTTTAAATCATAAGTTACATTCAAATTCAGATCTGATTCATTCCATCCCGTCGGGTGAGTACACATCGTAGTTCTCCCCAAATTTGCCCTCTCTCTAGTTACTCGTTGCCGACACTACAGCCACCACTGCTGCCAACGCGCTTCAGCAATATTTCTCCTCTGTAAAATTCATCCCAATCAATAATTTTCCCCAAAGTTTGACCTGACCGAGAGTCCGGCCCTTCCTATCGATGTTGCTGAAAAAAGAAGTGAAGTAATTGAAAGAGAAAATGGAGATGGAAGTGAACGACAAGAAAGTGAAGCCACAAAGAAAATTGTTCGTATTATGGGTGGTTGTTTTTGTTGTTGGTGGATGTGGTTTTAATGGTATGTAGCTTATGTGTATTTAGGCACGACTGCGATAATTTTTTCTCATGAAAATTCAATCCAATTTGGTTTTCAATGCTCTATAGTTATAGAATGTGTTAGCATACAGATTTTGGGATGTTTGATTTGAGCTGAGTTTTATTTGCTTTGGTGTTTGTGAATCATATTGATCAGATGGTGTCACTGCTACCTTTATAAGGTTTTTGAAGATTCTCAAGTTGATTTCATTCAAATGGTTTTATGTGCATTTTAAGCCATTACTTAATTGAATTACATGTTTGTTTCATTCAAATAATTATTGATGTTGTTTTCTTATTAGAAGCTTTCTGCTGAAAATTTAAAGCCATTATGAATGATCTAAATTATCTTTGTTCTCTAAAGTAATTTTGCTAGTTCTATTTTACTTTAACACTAATATATAAATATCATTGTGCAGTTTGTAAGACTACTAACAAGTTATTAGATGGTATATTGATGTTGATTCTTGCCTATTTCAATTTTTTATTCTAACTTTAATATTTTGGACACAATTTTATTACTATGCTAAAGTCTCCACCAGGACACAAAATTTGTCAGCAGTATAAACAATATCGAAGCAAAAATATTACATCTATGCCGAATATATCCAAAAAATAAAAAAAAACATCACAGTGTGTTGGATCCTGCGATTCGGAATTCCAAAATAGCTCGTCGATTTCGTCGGTTTGGGTTCCGGAAGTACTCCAAAGAGCCAATCCGTCGTCGGGCAATGCTGATTTCAGAGATTGATCGAACTAAACTACGATTAACTACGGAAAGCGAGTAAATAAATTGCAGAAAGCATATAATTGGAATTAAATTGCATAAACGGAAATAAAAAAAGAAAGAAAAATATGAAAAAATACGATTCTGTTCTGTTGTGCGTGTGTGTGTTGTGTTTATTTTTCTTACTTGTAATCCTAGGCTAAAATAACCATTTCTTCCACTAGCAGGGGTGGTTACAAATTATTCCCACTTCTTTCTACTTCTCTTAACCATCAAATAACCTCCTTCCATCAGTTCCCAGCGGCTTCCATTGCTCCTGGACCGGGTTCCATTCGTCTTGAGCATCTTCCATCGTTCCTGGACCAAGTTCCATTCGCTTTGGATCTCTTTCATTGCCTTCAGATCATACCTGCAGCCTACCCTGATTCGTTTCCATCATACTCCCAGCCGGTCTACGGGAATATGTTCCCGACAGCCTTGAGTTACATGGAACCCTTACTCTTCATGGTCGTCCATTAGTGTCATGAGGTTGCCGATTCAGAGTTGATGGAGCTTGTCGTCCGAAGGTCTATGGAAGTCATATCTTCTTGCTCCATGGAAGCTCCGCAGCCTGATGAAAGTCATTATCTTCGACATTTAAGTCATTTTGGACTTGGGGTCCAACAATTGCCCTCCTCAAAAAGAGATGAAATGTAAGCTACGTGAAGCTTTGCTCTCTTTTTGGGACTCCCTTTGTGTGGGACTTACCCTCTTGGGCCTTGGCACAAAATTATCCCAACTTGATATCTCACGTCAACCCCTCTAACCTTGATGTGACGGTTGCTTCCTTCGATTCCCGTGTCGTCTAAGAGAGAAAAGACATTCAAGGGTTTTTTTTCTAAGGGTTTATCATCACTCCCCTTTTCCACGTCTTCTCTCGTTTCTCCTTCGAAGGCTTTTCTCCTATTTGGTGAACGCAAGTATCAAGTTGTATGGCTTTTTCGACGGCTCTTCCTTCCAGTAGTGTAGCTGAACCTTCGTTGCAGACTATTGCCGACGTCCAAGTGTCTATTACTCACGTTGTGAGGGATTTGATGTCAGCCTTAGAAGTGGCAGCAGACCATAATGCTTCCGATTCGCCTTTGACTTCAGCAGTCCCCGTCTCCGAGGAAGCAGCATCGATTCCAGAGGGCTCGGCTTTAGCCGGTGTAGCTTCGAGCTCTGGTGTAACAACCTTGTCTTCGGAGTGCCTTACTTCTGCAGGTGTGGTTCCAATCGTTGCTGGAGCAGCCCCGGCCCCAAAGATTTCAACTTCAGTGGTAGCAGCGTCAGTTCCTGGTAGAACATCTCCAGCTCTGGAAAACCCGATTCCGCCCTCGATAGATCCGATCCCCATAGAAACAGTTCCCGGGCCTGATGGACTGGTTCCAGATCCGGCAAATCTGATTTCAGCTCCAAAGGATCCAGTCCCTACAGAAGCAGCGCCAGGCCTTGATGGAACGGCTCCGTCTAAGGAAGGTCTGATTCTAACTACAACGGATCCAGCTCCCGTGAAAGCAGCGCCAGGTCCCGATGGAACAGCTCCGTCTCTGGAAGACCCGACCCCAGTCCTAACAGATCCAGCTTCCGTGGAAGCAACACCTGATCCTGATAACGCCGAGCCCGATGTGGACCCAGCAGCAAAGGATACTCCTCATACCGTGCGTTAACCTTGGGAACCATTCGCCTTTCTTTGATTCACCCGCCGTTTCGTTTGGATTTTATGGTTTGCTGCTCATTTGGCTATTTACGACGACTTATTTTCGTTTTGTTTCCATTCGCACATTAGCGGCTTAATGGCCTGTTTTCATTTTGCGTACTAGAGGCTTAATAGCCTGCTTTCATTTTGCACGTTAGCGGCTTAATAGCCTGCTTTTGTTTTGCTTCATATCTAGCGGCCTGACAGGGCCTGCTTTCATTTCGCTCATTACGTCTAGCGGCCTAATCAAGGCCTGCTTTCAGTTTGCACATTACATTTCTTTATCTGAACTCGAGTGGTGACATATATCCTTTAAGGTGCTTAACGTTTATAACATTTCTATGTTCTATCTCGTCAATACTCATCAATCTATAAGCACCGTTAGGCAGCACTCTACTTACTTGGTACGGACCTTCCCACGTAGGAGACCACTTCCCGAATGTATTATCTTTGAATCCTTCGGGTAGCACTGCCTTCCATATCAAATCTCCTTCTTGGAATGTTTGACGACGTACCTTTTTGTTGTAAGCTCACGTTACTTTCACTTTATTTGCCCTGATATTCTCCAAAGCCATCATCCGATCCTCGTGCACGTCATCCAATCTTTGTAACATTGCTGTGTCGTACTGCTCGGGACTAAGCGAATTTTGCTTTAACACTCGTAATGATGGCACCGTGATTTCCAACGGCAATATCGTTTCATGTCATAAACCAGTTGGAATGGAGTGCAACCAGTGGCTTTATTTCGGTATTGCCTATAAGCCCATAAAGCCTCCCCTAACACTTCGTGCCATCTTCTCGGGTTATCTTCTACGGCCTTTTTGATTACCCTAATTAAGACTTTGTTGGCTGCTTCGGCCTGCCCATTTGCCTGCGCATAATACGGGGACGAATGCAGAAGAGCAATCCCATACTGTGCGGCAAAGGCAGCCACTCTATCGCTGGTAAAAACAGTGGCTTGATCGGCGGTAATCGTCTGCGGGATTCCGTACTGGTGAATAATATGCTATTTAATGAACTTGATCACGTCGTGATACGTCACATTAGCCAACGGCACAGCTTCTATCCACTTTGTGAAATAATCCATGGCCATCAATATGAACGACTGGTGTCTGGAAGATGGCGGGTGGATCTTCCCGATGATATCCATCGCCCATCCCCGGAATGGCAATGGTTTCACCACTGCGTGCATTTCTTCCTCCGGAATTCGGATCAAAGGGCCATGTCGCTGACACGCTTCACATCCTTGAGCGTACTTGATATAATCCTCCGTCATTGATGGCCAGAAATACCCATATCGTCGGATTGTCCATCTCATGACTGGCCCGGATTTGTGTGCTCCACAAATTTCTTCATGCACCTCACCCATCACCTTCATGGCTTCTTGATTATCTACGCATCTCATTAACATTCCATAGGCGGCTCTGCGGAAAAGATCTCCGTCAATCAGAGTATACTTCAGAGCCTCTTTCCGCAGCTTTTCCGGAGTTTCACCGGTTGGTTGTTCCAAATATTTCCTCAGTTCCATACGCCAATCTTCCGCATCCATTGGGTACAGATGTACTCGACCTGATTTGAAGTTTCCTGCGGCTGATGACTTGTACCCAGATGCTTCTTGAGCCAAATCATTAGCTATTCTGTTTTCAGCTCGATGTATGAATTCTACCACCACATCATCAAATATTTGCAGCATCCTAACTGCTTCCATTCGAAGATTTCTCATTCTCTCATCTTTGCATTGGAACTCTCCAGCAATCTGCTTCAAAATTAGTTGTGAGTCGCCTTGAACTCTGATCGCCTTGGCTCCATTTTCATATAGAATTCTCAATCCAACTAATAAGGCTTTGTATTCTGCTTGATTATTAGTAAATCCAGGTGCCAATGCCCTGATAACAATCCACTTTTGTCCCCAGGGACTCTCAATGAATACCTCAGCCTCAGCATTATTCTGCGTGCTAGACCCGTCGAACTTCATCAAGGTCCAAGGCATCAGAATGATAACAGCTTCCATGCGATTAGCTGCTTGGTCAGCCACCGGACTCGGATGATCTACTAGATAGTTAGCAACAACCTGTCCTTTAGCAGCTTTGATTGGTACATATCGTAGATCGAACGCGGCTAGCTTTACAGCCCATTTTGCTTGTCTTCCCCTTAAAGCTGGCCTGCCTAAAAGATATCTCAAAATATCGACAAGACATACCACTTCTGTTTCCCTCGAGGCTAAAAAATATTCAAGTTTCGTGCAAGCATAAAATAATGCGAGACATAATTTTTTCATAGGAGTGTACCTTGTCTCTGCATCATTCATTACCTTACTGAGGTAAAATATGGCGCGTTCGCTTCTATCGGGAGCCTCCTACGCCAGTAAGCAACCAACCGTATTCTCACTGGCTGAAACATACAAGGGCAGAGGTTTGCCTGCTTGCGGCGGCATCAACACCGGTGGATTGGCCATGGCTTCCTTAATAGCTTCGAAAGCCTGTTGGTGTGGTGGCTTCCACACAAACTCCTCTGTTTTTCACAACTTGAGCAGTATGGAAAAAGCTCTAAGCTTGCCTGCAGCATTCGAGACGAAACTCCGCAGAAAATTGACCTGCCCAAGGAATCCTTGAAGTTGCTTCAGATTCTCAGGCGGTCGGGCGTTGATGATAGCTTTCGTTTTGTTACTATTCACCTCAATACCTTATTATGCACCATGAAACCCAGAAAGTTTCCGGAGGCCACTCCAAATGCGCACTTCGCTGGATTCATCCTTAAATTATAGTGCCTCATTTTCCGAAGAGCTTGCTCGAGATCCACCAGATGTTCCGAAAAACTCTTGGATTTCACCACTATGTCGTCAATGTAAACTTCCACCGACTGTCCAATTAAATCGTGAGATATGGTGTTCATTGCTCGCTGGTAAATCGCTCAAGCATTCTTCAACCCAAACGGCATCATCACCCATTCGTACACTCCAAGGGCTCCTGGGCATCGGAATGTCGTCTTTGCAACATCCTCCTCGGCTATAAAAATCTGATTATAGCCAGAATACCCATCGATAAACGACAAACTCCCGTTCATGGCGGCTGCATCTACTAACATATCGGCAACAGGCATGACGTACTCGTCTTTGGGTGTTGCCAGATTCAGATTGCGATAATCGACGCATACACGTAATTTTCTGTTTTTCTTAAGTATGGGAACGACATTGGCTACCCATTCCGGGTAACGACAAGTCCGAATGAATCCTGCTGCCAAACGCCGCTGGATCTCTTCCTTGATCTTCGGGTATACATCTGGGTTGAACCTTTGCGGCGGCTGCTTGTGGGGTTTATACCCGGCTTTTATGGGTAACCGATGTTCCACTAGTTCTCGAGCCAAGCCTGGCATTTCGTCGTAATCCCAAGCGAAACAGTCCCGGTACTTCTTTATCAGTGTTACCAAAGCAGCTCGATCTTCTGACTTTAACAACGCGCTAACTTTAGTGATTCGCGGAGATTCATCGGTACTCAGGTCAACATCTTCCAGTGGATCCTGGGCCTGGAACGCTGGATAGGTTTTATGCACAGGTGACGGTAATTCCACTTCACCAGTACTTTCCTTGGACAGATCCGGACCATTGGTGCATTTTTCTCTAAGCTGTTCCGCTTCTTCATCGGGGTCTGCTCTGGTCGGCTCTGGATGTTTCGTAACAAAGCCTGTTTCGGGCGGCCCAGGGTTTTCCAAGGGGCCAGCTCTAACCGGCTCCGAACTCGCCACAGAACCTGTTTCGAACCGCTCACCACCTTCTGTGGGACCTGCTCTGAATGGCCCTGTATTCGTAACAGAGCCTGCTCCGTGCAACTCAAATTGAATTTCGACGCATTCGAAATTCATCATAGTCTTCTTCATTCGTAGGCCGTGGATCGGCCCTCGCTTAAATTCTGAATTGATTATCACTAAACACACATTCATAATTTCCCTCGTTAGACATGGGGGCGATTACTTCGGACAACGGGATCATCTTCGAATAGTAGAAAGTTGCATCTACAGCTGTGACTTCCGCTACGAATGGGTCTTTCTCCGCCTCCACTTCTTGAACCTCATCGCCATCCCAGAACAGCAACTTCTGTTGCAAAGTCGACGGTACACACTCGCAAGCGTGAATCCAGTCTCGCCCTAATAATGCTGCATATGAAGGGCGACTTTCTATTATTACGAACGCTGAAGACAACTTCTTGGTGCCTACTTGTACCTCCACATTAGCGATTCCTGCCAGTTTATACGAATTTCCCATGAAATCCGTAGCTCGCACCGAAGTTGGTATTAAATCGTCCCTTGTCTTTCCTAACTTTCTGAACGTCCGAAATGGCATTACATTGGCGAATGTGCCGCCGTCTATCAATACTCTGCCCACTGGTCGTCCTTCCATTAAAGCTCGAATGTACAAGGGTTTTACGTGTTTATTCTGCTCGGACCCGATTCGATCAAAAGTGACCGTTGTCACTATATCGTTCCATTCTGCCGCTGGTTCTTCATCTACGGTCACTTCCTCATAATTCTGCTCCCCTTATGGAGCTTTGAATTCAGAAGACAATACCCCCACGACCGATAGATGACCATCTCCAGCGCTACACTCTTTTGGTTGTGCAGTTTTCGGCACCCATCGACGCTGCCAGTTTAGAGTGGGTCCGGCGCCTGGTGTAGAAGAAATCAGGCGATGTTGCAACTCTTGATTTTTTTGAGGTCTCTCCTTCTGCTCACTGGCTTTCAAGGTTTCTTCGTCCCGACTTTCTGCTTGCTGAATTTTTGAGTCAACTTTTCTGTCCTTAGCCCCTGCATCCCTCTGATTTGGCTGAACACCTTTAGCTTCCAATTTAGCCTGTAGTAGTTTCCTTTCTGCCCTTCTTTTCTGGGAACGTGTGAGGTCACCCATTGCCCTCCTGGCATTTGTCTCCAGCACATTAATAGTCCACTACTCCGAATCTACGGCTGATGGAGGCTTCCGTGTCTTTCTTGGAGTAATAGTAATCTGATCTGCAGATGTAATGGTCCAGACTCATTTCCCACTACCAACTTTCACTTCAGCCACCGTGGCATCCGGCTTAATAGTTGGGCCTGGAGCTGTGGCTTTAGTCGTCATATTATGATGTTCCTGAATTTCCTGGGCATTCGGAATTGTCACTTTCAGATTAGGGTTCCTCTCTACGACCCTAGGCTCCTTACTTCCAACATTTCCATTAGGCGTCTTTCTTACAGACAACCTATCGAATACTGAACCCCGTTGTGGTATCCTAGGCCCAAGTCGCTCATGAACCGGCTGTCGAACCAGTTGTTTCCCTCTGTTCTGTCTCTTGAGACCTCTTGTAGACATAGTATTAATGGATGGTGCAGGAAACGGATTCGCATCCACCTGCATACTCTTTTCTGCTAGCTTCAGTCTACCCTCGTCTAAAGCTTTCTGAATCGTGTTTCGTAGGTACGTACAATTGACGGTAGTATGTGTATAACTCCCATGCCACCTGCAGTACACTTTTCCTTTCAATTCCTCTGTGACGACACTCGCTGCCCGTCTCGGAGTTTGATTTGTTTGTCCTTTAGCAGATGATCAAAAATATGTTCTACCTTAGACACATCGAAGGTATATTGCACGCCTCCGACCTCCTTACCCCTTGTAGGTTTTAATGCCGAACATGAGTAAGTTTTTCCTTTCAGCAATTCAGCCGCCAACACATCTTGTTCCTCGCCACAGTCTTTGTCGGCTGAACTTTCCTCACCTGCACAACAAGTTATTCCTGTTTTTCCATCTTTTTTCCACCTACCTACAACAGCATCCTGCCTTTCTCGAATGAGCTTTTCTGCCCTCATTGCGAGTGCACTTAGATGCGAAAAATCCTGGAAATCCTGAACCCCCAACCGGTCTCGAAGATCTGATCGCATATTATCTACTGCCATCGCGGTTGCCTGCTGTTCAGGTATCTGCACTGTGCACCGTGTCTTAGCTTATCGAAACCTTTCCAAAAATTGTGCCACAGGCTCATCATATCCCTGCTTTACAGCTACCAGGTGGGATATTGTAGTCTCCACCGGTGGCGCGTAAAAACGGTCGTGAAACAGCCTCTCCAAATCCGACCAAGACTGCTGATAACTCTTGATTTTGCCATATTTTATAGCTTATATTTATTTAATTAATTATTTATTTATGTCGAGTTGGTATTATTTATGTTAATTTATTCTAAAAATTGTATTATATTCATCTTGTTTGTATAATATTAATTTATTAGTTTTTAAGTGTAATTTATAATTATTTTGGTGTGTAAATTAAATTAATTGATGTGTTTCTTGAATTATATTTTTTGGCATTATTTATGTGCTATTTACGTATTTAATTTTAACTGAATTAATTTTATTTAATAAATATTATTTATTTTAAAAAATATTTATAAGATGTTCATTATTTATATAGGTGAAGTAATGCTTGAAAATTGATATTGGAGCCCAAAACTGGCATTAAAAAGTGAAAAAATAGCTTCAGAAACGAAAAACAGCCACCGCCGTGAAAGTCAACAAAAGTCAACGCGAGAAAGTCAAAGTCAACCACGCGCGGAAGACAAGCGGCGGCTACATAGGAGTGCGCAAGCGCGGAAGGCAAGCGAGCGCGGAAGGCGAGCGGCGGCTGTATTTATGAGCGCGGAAGACAAGCGACGGCCGCACGGAAGGCAAGCGACGGCTGGCGCATGAGGCAAGCGAGCACGGAAAGCGAAGCGGCGGCTAACACGGAATTCAAGCGGCGGCTGACACGAAAATATGAGCGGAGCGGAAAGCCATACATGGAAGTGAGCGAAGCGGCGGCTGCATTAATTCTCGCTGCATTTATTGCCGCTGGTCAGCAGTGCATTTACTGCGCCGCCACAATAATTCCTGCAAAGAATTCTGCTGCATTTATGTCTCCTGCACCCTCAGCTCCTGCATTTACTACACTCTCCCAGCTCCCTTAATTAAAATCCTGCACTACTTTTTAGCCAATTTTTGGTTATTTTTGTGTAATTTTTATTCTAGAACCTTCTAGAAAATAGGTAGTTATTAGTAGTTATATTAGTAGCTAATTTTAGAGTTAGTTATTTATGGTTATTTTTAGAGGTAGTTAGTAGTTATTTTTAGAAGTAGTTATTTATTGGCGGTTGTAACCGTCAAGCTTCTAGAAGTTTTTCCCCTATAAATATCCCCTCTAATTGTACCATATATGATATAGACCATAAATAGATATGTGATACACCATAGATATATATACACACCATATATACACAATAATATACATTCTATTTTCTCAATTTCTTTTCTTCCGTATTTTTTTTATCTAGTTTAATAATACGAGATTTTCGGTTTTGTGTCGCGAGCAAACTGATTTTCTCTCCCTTTTTCTTTTAATTTCAGCATATTATTTTAGCTAGTAAAATTCCTATCATATTTCTCCACCTCACCTTCACCCAAAAATTCCATGTTCGATTTGAATTGTTCAAGTTGGATTTCGACAAGGTTGCGGAAGGGCGATAGAAGAATCGACTATTTCAGCCCTGTTATGCGCCAAAAGCGGTTTCCGGGTAGTTCAACGTAGCTAAGTACGCAGGAGCCTTGTCGACCTGCTTAGTTGCTGTTCTGAATTCGATTTTGATTAAAGAGAGGTAATAAAAGGGGTAGAGCCACTAGCGGAACGGTTGGAAGAATAATTCATGGGGCATAGGCGGGGGTCTATTGGGTCACAGAGATTCCTAGTGACAGTAGGGTTTCTTGCTTATAATGTTCTTCGCCGGGTGTCGCTGAAGCCTCGTTGTAAATCCCCCAAGATCAAGTACCAACCGAGTCGAGAATCGGCTTAAGCGAGCAAATGCGATCACGTTCATTTCTTTGTGCCGCCTCGCAATTATACATATATTTTTCCCTATCACGCTATCGTCATCCCGCTCATTTCATCCATGGAAATCTAGCCATTAAGGAACGCAAAAGTCAGACACAAACGCCTCGCTTCATCCTTTTCGAGATACGTATATTTTATCGCTTTTTAGATAGATTTAATTCCTGCAATTGATCTTTTCAGTTTTTCTTCGATTGCATTAACTCATTGCACTTTTTCTAATTAAATATAGGATATTCGCATATTCCCTGAGTTCGACCCGGACACTCACCGGTTAAAGAGATTTTTTATTTTTGACGAACTTTTTGGAGTTACTACACGAACACGCACGACACTATTTTCATTTTATACATATATCATTTTTTTTGTATCTTAAAAGATATTTTAAAAACTCTCCAAAAATCTTCAATCAACTGCACAGTACCTGGAGCTAACGATGTATACCACGAAAACACCGTACCCGTCAGAGACAAAGAAAACAATTGTAAACGATACCAATCATTTCCTCCCAAGTTCCCGCACTGAGCTGTAAATTTCCCGATATGCTCTATCGTTGATCTCCCATCCTCACCGGAGAACAATGTAAAATCTGGTGCTTTATTTCGAGCGGGCAACGACATCATCTCACTTACCCAAGATGGGTAGGGTCTTTGATACACTGGTCGCTCTTCGAATTTCATTCGCGGGAAAGCTCTTCGGATACTTTCCACTAGAATATTTGTATCTAATCATGGTTGGGCCTCCTACTGATTAGGAATCAGCGGCTGCCCTCCTGGTCCCCAAGCTTGACCAGCCATTCCTCCTTGAGGGACAGCGGCATAAGGAGCTTGCTGCGCCCAGGAGGTGCGTTCCAAGCAGGCTATCCTGCGACCTGCCCCTTTAGACGCCGCTTCCTGCGACATCTTGTCCTCCCACCATTTGAGGGCCACAGCCTCCGCTGGGTTGCCCTCCTTGCGGGTGTTGGAGAATCGTCACATTACCGAATTGCAATCCTGCTCCACCCGTCCGTCCCCTAGGCGATCCAGTGTTTCCCCGAACCAAGTTAGAACCGACGTTTCCTGTGAGATGTGGAATCCCTCCAGCAGATGGAGTTACCCCTCTCGGTCCTCCATATGTGTTTCCTGAAATTCCAGAATTCTGGATTCCACTGGCCGCTGCTCGGCGTTCTTCTTCGCAAATCTGAAACGCTTCATTCCTTACAGTTGGCCGGATCACATCAGCCAATTGCCTGGAAATTTCATACGCGATGTCTCCGATTCCGGCCTGAATACACTGATTCACTTCTCTGCGCACCATGGTCACCATCGTCTCGGTCGACGACGATTCCTCATCTCTCCTCAGCCCTGGGATGCGGCTTCCACTGGGATGAACCGGCGTTCCAGTTCCAGTAAATCCTGCACCCTGATTCTGATTGTCCATGGCGATCACTTTACCGCTGCGAAGTTGCATACACGAATACGAACCCGACTTGGTCCCACTGGGCGTGCCAATTGTTGGATCCTGCGATTCGGAATTCCAAAATAGCTCGTCGATTTCGTCGGTGTGGGTTCCGGAAGTACTCCAAAGAGCCAATCCGTCGTCGGGCAATGCTGATTTCAGAGATTGATCGAACTAAACTACGATTAACTACGGAAAGCGAGTAAATAAATTGCAGAAAGCATATAATTGTAATTAAATTGCATAAACGGAAATAAAACAAGAAAGAAAAATATGAAAAGATATGATTTTGTTCTGTTATGCGTGTATGTGTTGTGTTTATTTTTCCTACTTGTAATCCTAGGCTAGAATAACCACTTCTCCCACTAACAGGGGTGGTTACAAATTATTCCCACTTCTTTCTACTTCTCTTAACCATCAAATAACCTCCTTCCATCAGTTCCCAGCGGCTTCCATTGCTCCTGGACCGGGTTTCATTCGTCTTGAGCATCTTCCATCGTTCTTGGACCAAGTTCCATTCGCTTTGGATCTCTTCCATTGCCTTCAGATCATACCTGCAGCCTACCCTGATTCGTTTCCATCGTACTCCCAGCCGGTCTACGGGAATATGTTCCCGACAGCCTTGAGTTACATGGAACCCTCACTCTTCATGGTCTTCCATTAGTGTCATGAGGTTTCCGATTCAGAGTTGATGGAGTTTGTCGTCCGAAGGTCTGTGGAAGTCATATCTTCTTGCTCCATGGAAGCTCCGCAGCCTGATGGAAGTCACTATCTTCGACATTTAAGTCATTTTGGACTTGGGGTCCAACACAGTGCAAAGGTTCATCCAAAATAAGTGTGAGGTCCTGCAATACATGAGTGAAAAATAAAGGTCTGCAAGCTAATACATTGAATTAATTAAAAAGCAGATTAACATATTAAATAAGCTAGTCCAGGAAGACTCTAGTGGTCACGATCAAATGCTGTTCAACAGCTTCTGATCCGATGAAAACATTCTGCAGAATCAAGATCAGTCATCTCTTGCTCAAGCTCAATCAGTCCTATAAACCTGAAAAAGATTTTAAGAAGCAAAATTTTTTTATTGAACATCAGTTTTGTTGTTCAGACTAGATTAGTACATTGCCATTTATTATTATAAATACCCTTTCAGAAAATCTTTAGTGGCCAGACATGAGGATTTCCACTGCATTCACCACCAATATGCGATGACTGAACCTAAACTTATGTATAATAAAAAAAAAATAAAAGTAAAAACTAGTAAAATAATTATTTTAATGTAAACTTATATCATCATAAAATAAATACCTCAAGTAATTCTGTGAACTTCATAGAATAAACGGACTCATTGCAATAATGAGATTGTATATTTGATATTTGGTTCACTATTGCAATCTAGAATGCAGGACAATAAAAATAATTCAAGGAATTATTGAATATAAAAAAAAATTAAATCATAATTATTATAATTAAATTATAAATTTTATTTCTAAAAAATAACCTGCTCTCGAGGGATTTGATAAGACTGCAATGCAATGCTACCGGATGCTAAGTAGGCCTTATTAGTGAATGTCTGCATAATAAATAAAGTATCATAAATTCTTTGAATAAATAAAATTATTTACAATGCAGTGATAAGTGCGCACCTGGGTCTCAACTAAACACTCATTTCCTCGAACTTTGGCTTGCTTTTTTTTTTTTTGAGTTTCTTTCCAATCCATTTTTTGGTCTTTTACCCGAACGCACCTTCGTCCTATTGTTTATACCTTTTATGTGAATGTTGTCTTTATTGTTCATACCAACATTGTCAACGCCCTTTAAAGATATACCATCATAATTCTCTTTTCGACTCTGTAATTGTTCATTCACTCTTTCAATTATCTTTAACAATGCATCTCTGGAAACTCATAAGATTCTTTATTTTCTGAAGCTCTCGTTACCAGTTTGTTGCATAAAACACTCAAATCCTTACAACGCAAGCTTAACTTTTTTCGGATCATCCATACTGTGGTCCCCGACATACATTCTACTATGCAAATCACCTAGCCTTGCATCTTTCGTCCACCTCTTCAGTATATATTGATCCAGAATTTTCAATACATCATTTTTTGTGAGAATTTTCAGTCTATGAGAATATAATATTTCAGAAAAATCAAATTTCTTGTAACTACAAGCAACTGTCTTATCTGATGAATCATATTTCACAATATGGTACCTTGATCTCTCAAGATAGCTAACATGATATTCCGTAATAGTTTCATGCGATCTAGTAACAGTTCCAAAGCAATCATACGCTTTTCCCAATTCCTTCTGAAATATTTTAAAAACTTCTGGGGTATACACACTCGCGGCATGTTTCAAGAGCTGAATTGACAATGGAAGCACGTACGCACTAGTACTTGCTTTGGAATCGGCCTGCAACTGTTCATATCGACGAGATTTAACCAAATTTTCAAAATTTTCAAAAAACACCCGCAAGTTGTTCTTTGAACTAGAATACCTTTTAATCACACTGTTAATACTCTCACTACGCTGTGTCGTCGTAATATCAGCACAAAAGAATTGACGACCATACACCAACGCCCATTTTTCTTTCAAATTGAATAACCTTCTCAACCAATCATTATCTACCAAATTGTACTTTACCAACATTTCATTCCATTCGTGCAAAAACTCATCCTCTTCGTCAAAATCATAAACACATCTCCCAAAATCATGCGCAAAGTTTTTATGCTCAACAAAAATACCACCCAAATGTATAGCGGCATTTTGATAAATATGTTAAATACATAACCTACAAAATTAACAATTTAGGAGTAAGTTATTCTACGGAAAAAAATATCTATACTATAAAAAATTACAAATATAATGTATTGAACTATTTATGCCTAAAACAAAACCTGTGATGAGTCTCAGGCCACCTCGAAGCCAACGCATTTGCCATAGTTGGATCTTGATCTGTCAAAATTCTAGTTGGCTTTCTTCCGTACATGGTGTTGACGAAAGTGTCAAACAACCACTCAAACGAGGGAATAGTCTCATCGTATAAAAGTGTTGCACCAAAAACTATTGTTTGCCTGTGGTGATTAACACCAACAAACAAGGCCAAGGGACGATTTTCCTTATATTTTCTATACGTAGTGTTGAAAGAAACTACATCCCCAAAATCAATATAGTCTGCTCTCATTCTACCATCGACCCAAAATATGTTTGTAATCATATCATCTTCATCCACTTGAATGGAATACGAAGAATTTAAGTCTCTGTTTTGCATCCCTTGTAAATATTCCAATACCCCTCTAGTGTCTCCAACCTCCATGTACTTAGTCCTCTTAGATCGCAAGTAATTTTTAATGTCTTGCCTAATAAACCTAAGGTTTCCCGGCCACCGGCTTTCTTAATCATTAAATCATGTGAGACTTTTGGAGCAAGTCCCACATGTTCGGTCATATCTATCTGGGAAGCATGAACTTCATCTATTCTCCTATGTGACGGGAATAAATGAATTTTTTGAGGACTAATGAGTTGATGAGTGTGTTCAGATATAAACTCAAATACTTCGTATTTGCATTCTCTCTCAATCGAATTCTCATCTTTGCTTTGCACCCAAATCTTGTTATTGCTCATGGTGCTCTCACATTAATATTTCTTTTATCTTCTCCCTTTGTGCCTTCAGCGCTACATGAAAACATTCTGCATTTTATCTTTTCTGTTCGATCTTTATGCATTTTGTGTCTTTTCATACTAAAACCCGCTTTTTTAGCATAAGCCAAATAAAATTGATACGCTTATTCTTCATTGTCAAACTCCTTTCCAATTGGAGATGTTTCTTCGGGAGAAATATGATGACGATAATTTTCCATATTTGTAAAGTCTAATCTACGTGAAGACGAAGACTTATTCTTTCCTAACTCATCAATCTCCATCATCACCTGTAAACGTATTGTGTAGATATATTACTCATAAATACAACAATAAAAGATCATTATACAAAATACAAAACAATAAAATAAAAAATAAAGTAAAAATACAGTAAAAGAACATATAAAAAAATACTAAACAATAAAATAAGAAATGAAATGAAAGGAACTGTAAAAGAGATAATTAAAAATTCCGAAGTAAAAAAATACAAAACACACACTGATTTCGGCGTTGACAACGGCGGTGATTTCTTCGGGGTCGGGGGATGAATTTGGCTAGAGCGGATAGAAATTCTGGCGAAGATTTGGTTGATAGAAATTGAATAAAATAAACATGCTGATTTTGGTGTCGTCGGCAGCGGCGTCGATCGGTGGTGGCGGCGTCGACTGTCACAGGCTAGGGCGATACTGGGATATATGTTTTGACGCGAGGAGGAATTTCAACTTAGATTGTATTTTGTGATTTAAAATAATAATAATAATATATACATACATATATACATACATACACGTGTCATATTTTTACTTGTTAGACTGATTAGACAGATATAAATTGGACCGATGATCCGATCCCCTTAATTATAGTTTATGAATAAAGAATTCTAATTTTTGCATTAACAATAAAGAATATTATATATAAATATATATATATATATATATATTTGTGCTTTAAACAGATTTTATATATGCTCTTAGATATTTTTTAACATGCTATATATAAATATAATAATATGCCGTCGAAATATTACTCCTATTAATTGAAATTTAATTTTTTTAGAAATCATAGCTAAATAAAAAATTAAAATTTTATAACAAATTAAATTTAAAAAATTATTCTTTATATTGTGCTCTAGACAAATTTTATACTCTTCCGCCGGTAAAATTAGAGTATTTAAATAAAATAAGGGGAGAAAATATAATAAAAATAGTGACATTAATTGTAATAAAGTGTTGAATTGAAAATAATAGTTAAATATTAATTTGTTGATTTTATCAAAATTAGTAACGGGATACATTTAATGAACTAAAAAGAAAAGTAAAAGTGAATTTGAATATAGGAGTATATGCAAATAAAATTTTTCCATAAAAATTAAAAATAATAGTTTATTGAACAAGTAATAAAAATAAAAAGATTATTGGGGATATTTTTCAAATTTTAATTAAAAAGTAATGACATTAGTTATAAATAAATTTTTAAATGAAAAACAATAATTAAATATTGATTCCTTGATTTTATTAAAATTAATAAACAGACTAAAAACAATAAAATAAATTTAGCTAATACAATCGTATATATATACAAAATATATTTGTGTGATATATAAATACACATAATGTATATATATGAATATATGTATATATATACATATATTATTTATATTTATATTGATACAAATATTACATATATCACTTTGATGAGAGGACGTGAAGAGGGCTGAGCACAACAAGGGTTGTTGGTCCCTTATCAAAATTCAAATAGTAAAGAACTACAATAATAATAAAAAAATAAAAATAATTAAAAAAAAACACTTTTATTTGTTTTGCTTAAAAAATCAAACTATAATAATATCCGAGTGACAAAAAAAAAAAAAAAAAACCTTCTAAAAAGCACCCATTCAAACTACACTAGGGTGTGTTTGTTTGGGGGTTTGGATTTTGAGTTGGGATTTGAATAGTAAAAATTTTGAATTTGAATAGTTGTATGATGTGATATAAATAGGGTTTGATGTGATGTTTTGAATGTAAAATTGATTTTTAGTATAATATAAAAAATGAAAAATAGGTGTTTGATTTGATATTTTTTGGGGGAAAAAATGGAATGAATAGTAGAAATCCACCAAAATCCTTCAAACAAACACACCCTTAATTAAAATTGAAGGTTTAGCTAATTTAAAAGATACACATTCTTTGTTAGAAAAGTTTTATACGGCGAGATTATTAAATAATGATCGAAAAATAAAATTTGATATTAAAATAATTTATTAAAATAAATTCGATAATCAATAATAATTTATCAAAATAAACTCGATAATCATGACAATTTTATCGAAATAAACTCGATAATCTCGATAGTTTCATCGAAATAAATTCAATAATCAATTTATCGAAATAGATTCGATAATCACGTCGAGTCGATATAGAACCTCTTTTTGTAAAAATGAATATGCTCCGGTAGTACTTCCGGTTCATGGCGTAACTTTTTCAAAGATAAAACGACGTTCGTCTCCGAATTAGGTGACGCCTCAATATTTCGGAGCTCTAACAAACTAAAATGAAAGAACATGAGCTTTGTCGGAGGCTTAATATAAGAGCAAGTGACCGGATTATTGACCGGCAACTCGCCGGAAATATTTCCGAAAACTTAAAGAGGAAGAGAGTGAGAGAAAACATATCTGTCTTGATTTGGTGTAACAAATGAAGTGGTGGAGAGGACCTTTTAAATGCTCTCCACCTCTTGGAGTTTAAATGCTAAGCCGAAACCGTCGGCTCTTAATTTCGGTAATGTTCGGTCATATACACCAAATTTAATTTCGGTCATAAACACCAATTTAATTTCGGTTATAAACACCAAATTGAATTTCGGTCATAAATATATTATTTGAATTTTCAAATTTCAAATAATAATTTATTATACATGCATGTAATTATTTGAATTGAGACAGATGGTGCGTATGACTTACCAGCATTTATATGCCTAACCACACTATTAATAACCACCGTACAGGCCACATGTATTTTAATTCACCGAATAAAGAATTATGAATTTAATTTAAAATTAAATTTCATCAACTAAATAATTAACCGATTTCTTACCTTGTTAACATGTGTGTTTGTTTTGGGGTTTGGATTTTGAGTTGGTACTTAAATAGTAAAAATTTTGAATTTAAATATTTGTAAGATGTGATATAAATAGGTTTTGATGTGATGTTTTGAATGTAAGATTTTTAGTATAATATAAAAAATAAAAAATAAGTGCTTGATTTGATATTTTTTAGAAGAAAAATGGAATGAATAGTGGATTTAAAATCCAATCCCCGGACAAACACACTTAATCACCTTTTTTATAATCTTGTTCCATTCCAAATGTTGTGTTTTTGCATTTTTATATTTTAATTTCTATTATTTAAAGAAATAACTAACTTCCTCTCTTAAATTGGTTTATTTTATTTTTCACTTATTTTAAGAAAATTTGTTTTATATAGTTAATTAATTTGATTAGTTAATTTAATATTTGTAATAAAATATTATTTTAGCAATTTCATTTGATAAAATATTGAAATAATTTTTATTTTAAAATTTTTAATATTTAATATTTTATTTATTGAAATTATTTTATTTTAAAGATTTATTTTATTGATTGTAAATTAATATATGCAATTAGATTTTAAAAAAAATTAGTAATTTAAATACAATTAACAACCGTAATAATAAAATATTTAATATAAATAAGAAATCAAATTTTTCGAATTTGATTGCGGGTAGGGATAGTTCAATATTACACTACCAAAAAAATAGTTTTCTATTACGGCCGGAAATTCGTAACAAAAAGCTAATTTTTGTATAATTTGCGTATTTGCTACGCCTTAGTGACGACTTTTATCCGTAATGTATACTCACGCAACAAATGTTTTTTGTCACGCACATTTTCGTAACTACTACTCTTGGTCAACGTTTCTTATGGCAAGGTTTTTGTTACGATATTTGTTACGAATATTCTCTAGTAATAAAAAGTTGAGCTTCCCACGCGTGTGCCAGGACTTTTAGTCACGATATTTGTTACAAAAGTTCCTCGCGTTACCAAAAAATTTTCTATGACCGCTTGTCAGAGAACGCTTTTTGTTACGATTTTTTGTTACGTCATTGAAGCCGTAATAAACAATATATTTTCTTATGGTCACGAAAATCGTATGTTATTTTATCGTAATGAGATATTGTACCAATAATTTCATATACCGAATTTTTGGATGAAAAAAATACTGAATAATCGAAATAGCACATACCGTACTAAAAAAATACCGAAAATGTCAAATTTCGGTATGTCGAACTCTTTTAGTATGATATTGGTATATATTTTTCTAAATACCAAAAAATTTGGTATGGTAAACAATATAGTGCAGTATTATTGGTATATTGTATCGAATCATTTTTAATCAAATTTCATATATTGTATCGAACCATTTTTAATCAAATTTCATATATTGTATCATAATATAATATTTTACGCTGAAATATCAAAATTTAAAATAATTTTATAATTTTGAAAATATGTTAAAAAATTAATTATTTTAGTATCAATATACTAAATTATCGATATATACTAATATATCGAATACTAAAATATCAAATTGTATATGATATTTTCGGTATATAATACCAACAATGGTAAAAGTATATGCAA